CTTTTCTGTCTATATAAATACAAACACATGCACATATAGCATATACCTCATTTTATTGTGCATTGCAGATAGCCCATGTTTTATAAATCGAAGGTTTGTGGCAACCCTGCATTGAAGAAATCTGTCAGCACCATTTTCCCAACAACATGTGCACAGTTTGTGTCTCTTTGTCACAATTTGGTAATTCTCACATTTCAAATTTTTTCATCATGCTTCATAGACTACAGTATTATATAAACATAACTTTTATATGCACTGGGAAACCAAAAAAAGTTGTTTGATTCACTTTATTGCAGTGGTCTGGAATCAAACCCACAAAAACTCCAAGGTATATATAATATACATATGTGTGTATATATTGGACTTCTGGTGTAGTGCTGCTGGATCAACACTGGACTGCAAACCACAAAGTTGGCAGTTCAAACCTACCAGCTGTTCTTCAGAAATCCCATAAAAGGTCACTATGAGTCGGAATTGACTCAAAAGCACTTAACAACAACAACATATGTATATAAACATCTATATGTATATATGGGGTCCTAGTGTAAGGCTATAGGATCAGCACAGGACTGCTAACTGGTTTGGCAGTTTAAACCCACCAGCTTCTCCTTGGGAACCTTATACTTGGTCGCTATGAGTCGAAACTGATTCCAAGGAACTTAACAACAACAATATGAGGGGTCCTGGTGTGGTGCTGTAAGATAAGCACTGGACTGCTCACTACAAGGCTGATAATTCAAACCCACAAACCGCTCCTGGAAAATCTTATACAGGCTCATTTTATTTATTTTATGTTATTAACAGAGAGAAGAGAGAGCTCTTCTGAACTCTACACAAAATTTACTGTTGTTTGTTTTGGAGGCAACTTAAGCCAAGAGTAATCAGTAACTCTACTTAATCGCCTGTTCTTCCATGATTTTTTCAGAGCTATTTGGGTTCTGAAGGGAAATATTTGTACTTCTGTGGAAAACCATACTTTCTTAGAGTGAGCACATCCTTCCAGGTTATCTAATTCTAGCCTTCATTGCCTTTAAGCATTCATTGCCTTTAAGCATTGCCTTTTGTTGTTGTTGTTGTTAAGTGCCGTTGAGTCGGTTCCGACCCATAGCGACCCTGTACAGGCTTTCCGAGGGTGTAAATCTTTACGGGAGTAGAAAGCCTCATCTTTCTCCCGCAGAGCGGCTGGTAGTTTCGAACCGCTAACCTTAAGGTTCGCAGCCCGATTCGTAACCACTACGCTACCAGAGCATTGCCTTTACAACTCTGTAAATTGTAAAGAACTGATTGCAAGGCAAATGACTCTTGTCTGTGTACTTGAAAATGAGTTCCATCTGGTAGAGAGATGCCTTCCTCTATGCTTGCATGGAAAATCCATTTTTGTCGCTGTTCATGTTGAAACTAATTTCAATATCCATGTTCTATAACTGTGCTCTTTAGATTCTCCTTTGAATCAATTATGACATCTGCCTGGTTCCCACGTTAATAATGAAACGTTTTTCTAAAAGGATTCCTGGTGGTGCAATGGTTAAAATGCTCCACTGCTAACCAAAAGGTAGGTGGTTCAAACCCACCAGCTGCTCTGTGGGAGAAAAATATTGCAGTCTGCTTATATAAAGACTACCTTTTTGGAAACCCTTTGGGACAGTTCTACTCTGTCCTACAGTGTTGCTATGAGTAGAATTGACAGCAGTGGCGGGGGTTTGTTTTTGTTGCTGTTGTTATGTGCTGTGGAGTTGGTTCTGATTCATAGTGACCCTGTACAGGATTTCCGAGGCTGTCTGTAAATCTTTATGGGAGCAGAAAGCCTCATCTTTCTCCCGCAGAACAGCTGATAGTTTCGAACTACTGTCCCTGAGATTAGCAGCCCGATTCATAACCACTACACTACCAGAGCTCCTTTTGTTTGTTTTTAGAGGGGTTCCTTTTCCTGGCATTTGGCAGCATTTGGGGTAGGTGTATGTTTTGAAAAGTTTAAAATGAAATTAGAATTTAGAGCACATTGCCTTGAATTGATCCTACACAAGGAATTAAGAAGACAATGAAAATAATAACTAGCAAGTTGCCTTTGAAACTGTGGACCAAAGAATTTTCTCTTTAATCTCTAAGTAAGAACTAGGCCCTTTGGAGCATGGTCTGATGATGGAATAAAAACAGTACACCATCAGGCACATCCAGTGATCTCAGTTAACTGCTGTATTAACTTTTTGTGTGTTGTTTTCAGTTCTTTAATTTTTAACTTATTTTTTTACAAAAATGCCTCTGAAAGAGAAATGACATTTTGCTAGAAAGTTAAATTGCCAAGGTGTCTTCTCTTCCAGCAGCGGTAGCAAAGCAATGGTATGACCCTGGCCTTCAAAATCATAGTATAATCTTAAAGGATAACACTATATGAATACTTGTGTTTTTAGAATGTTTTCATTAGTCACCAATTATCTATAATGTAAAAGTGCTAGTGATAGAGACTAAGATGAATAGTGAGGGCTGTCTATCCTCAGAGTGATAGAGCAATGTCACATTCTTAAGACCTCCCACTTATTGCAGTGAGTTTAACTGAAGCTTAGTAATAAACAGTCATGCATCCTATTGTAGACACAATATAAATAAAACTTGCCAGTCATCATAGTTTCTATGACAATGAACTATTTATGCATGTACATCCTTGTATACATGAAAGCATATTTGTGGGACAAATTCCTGAAGTAATTTCTAATTTTAAATAATCTAACCCTTAATTAAGCTTTCCCAGAAATTATTTTACTTAGGTTTGGAAATTTAGTGCCCAAGGAATTTCAGTTCCTTTAAGTGAAGAATCAGATATTTATAATGCTAGGCTTCCTATGATTTCAAGCTGAAAAAATAAATGAAGCATTTTCATTTGTTGACTTTTGTGTCATGTATTTTTAACTGAGGCTTGGGACTGTGTCTTCAATTATCGATGCTTCCCCAGCACCTTTCATGTGCCTAGCACATAGTAAATGTTCAATAAATTTCAGGGAGAGAAGGGAAAGAAGAAGCAAAGAAATTGACAAAGTCACATTCTAAACATATGAAATATTTACTTCCTTTTCTACCTGATGAAAATTTGAATTATTGTTTATGCGTAAAGCAATACATATATATGAAGTCTTGGTGTCGCGCTGTAGGATTGGCACTGGATTGTTAATTGCGAGGTCAGCAGTTCAAACTCACCAACTGTTCCTCAGAAACGCTATACAGGGTTGCCATGAGTTGGAACTGACTCGTCAGCACTTGCCAACAACACTCATGTTGTTGTTGTTAAGGTCCATCAAATTAGATCCGACCCATAGCAACCCTGTATAGGGTTTCCAAGGAGCAACTGGTGAGCTTGAACCGCCGATCTTGTGGTTCTAACTGAATTTGCAGTCTAGCGCATTAACCCACAGCACCACACAGGATTCCAAAATTCATAGCGATCCTATATAGAGTTTCCAAGGAGCTACTGGTGGGCTTAAACTATAGACCTAGTGGTTCAAACTGATGTTGTGATCAAGTGCTTATCCTATGGTGCCACACCAAGGTTCCATGTGTGTGTGGTGCATTTTGTACAGAATTTAGGAAAATGCACAGCAAAGTCTCAACAGTGGTTACCTTAGAAAAATGACAGATGCATGAGAACTGTATCGTTTGAATGCTTTGGGCTTATGTAAGCAGAAAACTCAATTTAAAAAGCAGCTTAAGGAATTAATATTTTCTCACCTAAAAACTGGAGTCCTGATAGCACTTAAAGTTAATGCGCTAGACTGCAAGTTCAGTTTGAACCACAAGGTTGGTGGTTCAAGCTCACCAGCCACTGTTCAGAAACCCTATACAGGGTCGTTGTGAGTCAGATCCAATTAGACGGCACTTAATAACAGCAACATTAATACTAAAAAATTACAAAAGTAAGACAAGTCCAGGGATCCAGTCAGTTCAGTTATGAAGGTTCCAGGTGCTTTTCATCTCTCCCTACTCCCCCTGCCACCCCGGGCAGTTTGAGCACATTCACAGTCTCGCCCTTCAAGGTCTCAGAATGGCTTTGGTAATTCCAGATATTACATGTAAATCTGTTCAATGCACACAGGGCCTTCTAACTGATGTGTATTCCCTACTGTGCCACTCCCAACACTTTAACCCTTTTCCCCAGATCCCTAATTTCTTGGAACCATTGATCTCAGACGTTTACAAAGAAAAATGGGTGAAAATATTCAGAAAAAAATATGAATGACACATATCCTCAACATTTCCCAGAGGATGTTTACATTTTTGAAAAGTCTTTATTAATCCATAGTTAGTCAACTGTGTGTTTAGAATAGCTGGACCTACCCATTGTCCTTTCGGTCAGCCAGACTACCATAACATTATCAAAATAAAAAGGAGTGCAATTTGACATCCTTGTAGCTGAGATGTTTCCCACTGTCTACAATACTCTTCAAAATTATTGTTATAACTCGTCAAAATAACTACTAACCACTTATTTATAGCCTTTTATTGTTGTTGTTGTTATGAATAGCTATAGGAAGTTTGCTTTTATATTGCCGAATTCCCTCTTTACACATTTAAATTGTAGTGCTGGATTTATAGCTCCTCTTAGATTCATGTAAAAAATGATTTGCTACCAAGAGCCCTCTCCTGCTCTCACTTAACAAGGCAGCTAATCAACTTAAATAGGATTTACTGAATATAGATGTGGTTCTCTCCACTCTGTTGAGCATTTTATTACTTCCTAATATTTTTAGGATTTGTAATAATTCAAAGACCTAAACATTTTTACGTATAAATTTGTTTGCTTGGAATTTTACTTATTAGCCTACTTCAGAAAATGATAAGCACCAGTCAGTTATCATGCTATTATCTTATCTCCTCAGAATTTAAAACTCACCTCAGAATGTGAAACTTACATTCAGTATATTGCTTTCCCCAAAAGGAAAGATGAACTTCACAGTTGAGTTACTCAATAGTTCAGTGCATTTGTAATTCTTCCATCTGTCTTTACCCAATAGGTCTGCCGACTGGAGTGCCATTTATCAGCAGGACAATACCAAGGAAATCTCTTTTCTGGGCAGCCAGTGATGTTCATCACTCCAGCCAGTAACCCCCCACCTGCCAAGCTGTGCGAACTTGTCAGACTGTGTGGAGGCCAGATCACCCAAGTCTCACGCCAGGCCAGCATCTTCATCGGCCCCTACAAAGGAAAGAAGAAAGCAACCATCAAGTATTTGTCAGAAAAATGGATCTTAGGTAAGAATCTAACTATAGAAATAAATGATTGGTTCTTTAGGAGGAGGCATGCCTGGGAATGGACAAGGAAGTTACGTTCTGATCACAGTAACTGTCTAGTTGTCTGGTTTTTCACTCATGGAGATGCTATTTTATGATACATGCAAGCTTCATGAGGAGAAACCATAGTGCCCACTCCACCCATTTAAAATGTGTTGTCATGTGCCTTTGGGTTTTCGAGGCTGTAGATCTCTGCAGGAACCAAAAGCCTCATCTTTCTCCCATGGAGCATCTGATGACCTTGTTGTTTGTAGTCCACTGCTTAATCTACTGAGCCATTGCACTCCCACCTTCCATGTAAGGACTTTCTTCTCATTTTTTGAATGTTTTATTGTGGTTTGGGTTAAAAAGTTTGTAGAGCACATTAGTTTCATATTCAACAATTTATACACACTTTGTGTAACGACATTAGTTGCAGTCAATCTAACAACAATCTTCCCACTTCCTCCCTGAGTTTCCTGCTTCCATTTGTCCATCTCTCCTGCTCCTTCCTGCCTTCTGAACTTTGTTTTGAGGCACATGCTGTCTTTTTGGTTTTACATGGTTGATTGTTCTAGGAGCATGTTCCTCACAGATGTTATTGTTCACTTTACAGATGTCTGTTGTTTGACTAAAAGATAATCCACAGGGGGTAAGTTCAGTTCCAGCTTTGAAGGATGTCTAAAGGCCATAGTCTCAGAGATTCCATCAGTCTCTATCAGACCAGAAAACCTGGTCTTTTTTATTACTTTCAATACTGTGCTACATTTTTCTCCTACTCTGACCAGGCCCTTCTAGTGTGATCCCAGTCAGAGTAAGTTGGTAGTGAAAGCCAGTGCCATGTCATTCTTCTGGTCCCAGGCTAGTGGAGGCTGTGCTTCCCATGGTCTCTTAGTTCTTTGGACTAATTGTTTCCTTGAGTGCTTGATTGTTTTCAGTCTTTTTTGCACCAGATGAGGGAAAGCCAGTAATTGCATCTTAGGTGGCCACTTGCAAGCTCTTGAGACCCCAGTCACTACTCACCAAAGTAGGATGTAGGGATTGTCTTTGTGGACTGTGTTATACCAGTTGACTTAGGTGTCCCCTAAGACTATGGTCCTAAGCCCCCAAGCCTAGTGACTCAAGGTGTTTGGTTATGGCTAAGAAGTTTTCATACCTTTGCCTCTGGAGGCCTTTTAACTGATTTTTCAATGGCCAGGCATCTGCTTTAATAGTGAGTATAGTTATTATCTACTGTATACAAACCCAAACATTCCCATTTTTTATTGTCAACTGAAGTATACAGTTCACAGGAAGAAAGGAAGTATTTTTCACTTTCTTCATTAGCTCATATAAAACTCTATCACAAAAATGTGTAACTGTGGTCATGTGCCACTCCACTGATCACTCTTAGAGGCTCTCTTTCCCTAAATGCCTGTCTTCTTTGCTTCAGGGGTCTAATCCAGCTCCCTGCTGCTGGAACTTGAGAACATAATCTCTGCCACATTACTCTTGTAATAACTCATTTGTTCCCATGTTCAAAGTGCTCTCCTTTAGTGCAAAAGCGTTTTACCTAAATAAGCATAATGTGAATATAATTTACATGTCTGGCACTGACTCCACACATATTTATGCCAAAATCTGTCCTAGCTTCTGGAGAGAGAAGGTGGTATGATATAACCCTTGACTTCTAGAAGGTTACAGTTTGATGCTCTGATAACAAGTGAACATCTTCTGTTATGCCTACTCTGTGAGATGCAATAGAGCTGCCACAAGTAGTAGTCTACTGTAAAGCCAGATTCAAGTCACTGGCACTGCTGTGATGAGTAGGTGTTGGGAGGGCAGAAGGCAAGTGGCCACGTTGTTGTTAAATGCTGTCAAGTCGGTTCCAACTCATAGTGACCCCTGTATAGGGTTTTCAAGGAGCGGCTGGTGAGTTTGAATTGTTGACCTTGTGGTTCAAACCGACCATGTGGTTCAACGCTTTATCCCATAGTGCTACACGGCAGGGCTCCAACATTGTTGCTAGGTACTTATTATTCTACGATAGAGTCAAATATTTTCAGAATGAATTTGAATTTGAATACTTTGCGTCTTCCATTCGATTTTGATATTTGACCAAGACTGTTACCCGGTTTCGGGAGAAGTATTTTCTGTCTGCCTTTCTCTGTCTCTCTCTATCTTTCTCAACCTGCTTCCTTTTTCTTCTTTATTTCTTTCTCATTCTCCCTTCTGTGAACCTCCTCTTGTCTTAAAATCCCAAACATCTGGCTTTCCCACCTCTTGCTAGACATTATCCTTTAATAGATAGCAAGTTAACTCTGTTCAAGTTATGCTAATGCACAACTACATATAATTTGTAAGTAGATTTTAAAATGATTCATGGTTATCATTTGATATATATATTTTTTAAGTATGTAATGAAAAGGGGTTTGTTTGTTTGTTTGTTTGTTTTTACTATCTGACAGAATAATTTATCTTTCCTCTGGAAACTAATCCTTAAAAAAGTATGATTATTTTTTAGTTTCAAAAGTACAAAAGCCAAGAAGCTGTTTATTTTCTAAATGCCATGAATATAAGCTTCAAAACATTCTATGTTCTGAAACAGATACCTTGTTTTATTTATTTATTTTTTTAAGTGTGTACATCAAAATGACGCAGACCACAGATCAGAATTGTGCTTTAAAAGAAAGTCTCGTTCAACTAACGGAACTTTGTACATGAGTGATATCTACAATCCATATCAACAAGTAATCTTTTAGAACTTTGGAAACTGTGTTCTTTGCTAAGGGCCAAAGTCTTGGTCTACGCTCCTGTTATTTCCAGGTTGGATAATTATAGCGGTTCTTTCCTGTTGCTCTTGCATTTTGTGTATAGGTCATACACAATTCAGCTGCCTACTGAGTTCCTCTACTTGTTTTGCCACTTAGCTCTACTGCTTTTGAGTTTTTGTGAAGTGAACATCTACTTGCTAAAGTCCAAAGCATAACTTTATAAACCCCTTCAGAATTCTTCAAATTTAAGGGTTGTAATTGTAGACCCAGTTTCTGTTTTTTTCCTTTCCTATAAATCATGTCCTGATTCTGATTTGTCATTTATTATACCATCTGTATCCTTGGCAATATCCAGATATTGTGTGTTCTGAAATACTTGACTCTCAAATTGGTAAAATTCTTACCCGTATAAGATTAAGGTTGTTAAGTACCATCAAGGCAGCTCCAACTCATAGCTACTCTGTATAGGGTTTCCAAGGAGTGGCGTGTGAACTTGAACCACTAACCTTGTGACTTAAAGCAACCTTGAGGTTGAGTACTTATCCTGTGGCGCCACACCAGTACTCCCCATATAAGATGAGTACTGCAGGTTCACTGAACACCATCATTCCTGGCTGCAGTAGATTTTTTCACTTGGATATGAGACAGTTTACTTTTCAAGTATTTTTACAGTAGCTTCAGCAATATACAAATAAATGAAATTTTAATTTCATGGCTGTGTACATATGTATACAAGGGGATCTGGTAGTGTAGTGGTTGAGTTGGGCTGCAAACCTCAAGGTCAGCAGTTCGAAACTACCAGCTGTACTGTGGGAGAAAGATGAGGCTTTCTGCTCCCATAAAGATTTATAGCCTCAGAAACCCTGTACAGGGTCGCTATTGAATCGGAACCGACTCCACGGCACATAACCACCACCGTCTGTTGTTGTTGTTAAATGCCATCGAGATGGTTCCAACCCATAGCGACCCTGTATAGGGTTTCTGAAGAGCAACTGGTGAGCTTGAACTGCCGATCTTGCAGTTCAAACCAACTTTGCAGTCTAGTGCATTAACCCACGTGCCACACCAGAAGTATATACCTGCAAAACATGGCATTCAGAACATTGCACTGTCTAATTCTCACAGCCCCTCCCATTAACTTAAATCTCTGGCAAGAGGCAAATCTTCTATCCTCTTTGGAACTCATTTACAGCATTTATAAAACTGATATAATCTCCACCTGCTTACCTAACTAATAATCTGCTCAGCTGCTAACCAAAAAAGTTGCAGGTTCCAATCCACCAAATATAAGAAGTACCTCAGAAGATATGCCTGGCAATCTACTTCTGAAAAATCAGTCATCAAAAATCCTCTGGACACCAATGTTCATGATAGCCAAAAGGTAGAAACAACCTAAATACCCATCAGGAGAGGCATGGGTAAACAAAATGTGGTACATACAAACAATAGAATACTCGGGTAGTAGGAGAAATGAAGTCTTGATACATGTTACAGTATGGGTATTTCTTTTTATGCTGAGTAGAATGAGAAAATCACAAAAGTACATATACTATATGATCTCACTTATATAAAAAGACAAGAGAAGTTTATCAGTAGTTACCAGGAACTGGAGGAAGTGGAGGAGAAAGTAGTTAATAATGATAGAAAAATTACATTGCAAGGGTAGCATTGCACAGCCAATTGTTGTAATTACTGTTAATAAATTCTGTACCTGTAATGTTGTTGTTTTTGTTAAGTGCTGTAGAGTTGAGTTCTGACCCATAGCAACCCTATATAAAGGGTTTCCAAGGAGCAGCTGGTGAACTTGAACCGTCGGCCTCCTGGGTCAAGCAGACTTTGCAGTCCAGTGCATTAACCAACAGTGCTGCACGTACCTGTAATAGATATATTTAAATGGCACACACACAAATGATAGCTTCTTTTGAGTATGTAAACACATCATGGGATGTGGGTTCTTATATTGTAAGTTTAGGGTCATGGTTTCTTCATAGGACATCCCAGTAAATTGGTCTGATTGCATGTTTATTTCTTCTGTTCTCCCTCCTAATTGTTTGTGTAGTTCTTGGGGTCTTTAAAGTTTATAAGCAGCCATCCAGGACATAGGAATTGGTTACTATTCACTTGGAGCAACAGAGAAAGAAGGAGAGTAGGAATAGGAGGAGGATATGAAATATGTGACGAACTACATACATGAAACACTGCCTCTTTTGCAATGAGACCAGAACTGAT